AACTGAAACGTCAATCTCAATCAAATTATCTTCCCCATTAATCTCTGAAAGTAATTGAGCAAGCCCTTCTTGTTCCAAAAGTGATTCAGGCAGCAAATCCAGCAATTCGTCAGGGTCCAACGTCTTCTTCTTCCCTTGTTTTAAACTGGTCACTTGCTCCGGCAGGGGGATTTCAATTAGATAGTCTTCATCGTCAACCTCAGTGCTGGATTCATCATCCGATAAAATCGAAAACAAACTATTTTCACAAGAAATAGAACTTGAACGAAGCTCAAAATCATTGCTCATTGTGAAATCATATTCATCTGCGGCGTACTCCTGCACAACAGTCTCATTTTCTGGCTTCTGGTTGGCTTCTTGAAGTAATATTTCATCAGAGAGAGCGCTTTTCTTGTGGATGTAGTTAAAAAGCAGAAGAGCTGACAGAACTAATAGTGAGAACAAAGGAAGCAAAGAAGAGAGATGAAGAGAAATTGACGTTAGAGATGAAACAAGTGCAAAACATAGAAAGAAGACTCTAAAGAGTCTAAATTTGAATGATGAATGAGAATGATCAATTGCTTTCTCCATGTTCCCTAGTCTCAAGGAAGGAAATTCTGTGTGTTTCCTAGCAATATATAAAGGCCTATTGATTCCTAGATTTAAAAATTTTCGACCCTTTATGCTAATCACAAGCAACTACCTCATGTGCAAGCCAGCCAGTCGGCACAATCCATAAAGGTACATTTTAAAAAATATAAGTGAGATAAATAAATTTGTTCATTTTCCGACAAGATAATTCCGTGCTTTTTGTATTGCAGGAAACTATAATAATGCTAATTGATAATGACCCATTTTCTTTTGTCTACAACCAAGAAAACCATGGTCATGAATCATGATGGTGTTGTCACCAAGTCCTTAACCATCATGGGCTTGTCTGCAAATTTTATGGAAACCCATTATCAATTGTGGGGATTTTGTGCACAAAAAATGTCACATCTCTGACCTTTGGTGCTGCGTTGTTCACACGAAATTTGCAAAATTGGGCATATTCGATGTATTTTTCGAACACTGAATGGATCGCAATCGGACATGATACATTGCATTTACAGTACCGCAATAATGGTGGATAAATTGGTGCTTTTGTATAGGAAAAGGAAATAACAGGACAGAAGGATCCTGTTTAATTGTCAAGAAATAATCTAATTCTATACATTTGGTGATGTTTTCCATCAAAAGCAAATTTTGTAGAAATTTTCGGTGTGGCAAACTATAATTAAAACATTATGTTTCCTCTAGTTTTTTCAATGTTAAATTAATTGACAAATATTTGTTTCACAATTTTTATTAATAACTAATGAGTACATATCTTCACCAACGACAAATTGGTCAACTTTATTGTAACTTTTTCGTTGAACTTATTATTATGGCCCGTGCTATATTACACAGGTGTTTACATGCCCGTGTACACTCCTCTCACAAGAATAGGGATCACCCATTTTTTTATTGGGTGTGGGCTTGCCTCTTGGGACGGGCGTTTTACACGCCCGTGTACAAATAGCAAATTTTTATTATTATAGCTTATTTAGTACACTTTATTATAGAACTTCGTAATATAGTAGATATATAATTTTCTTTCTTTTCTTTTAGTAATGTTCAGCCTTGTTTAATTTGCCTCGCCCAAGATGCGAGTAGTGGTGGATCCAACACTCGGTGAGTACTCGTGGCCGTGCATGTTGGATCCACCAGGAACAAATTTTTTTTGTTGACAATAGAAAAACTTTTAAGTTTATGTCACTAGTAATTCACCTTAACTCCAAGCATCTCTTCTAGTTAAGTTGTTTGGAATTTGCAGCCACCTATTAGAAGTCTTGGGTTCGAATCCCTTACCAACCAATTTTTTGTGCAATATTTTTTGTTCTATAATTTTTATCAAAATTAATGCAATAGGGAGAGCATCGAAGGGGATTGAAATGTGTAACCCTCTTGAAAGGATTATTGAAACCTAGACCATTATGGTACATGTTGAATTTTGACATTAAATTTAACAAAATATTATATGTTAGATTTTAATGGTTTTAATGCATTTGTAAAAATTCGAACCCATGCTCTTCTTTTGAATCATAAAAAATTTGGCAACAATGTCGTTTGGCAAGTACGATTTATTCTTATAATAGAATTATATATGTTCAATTTGAACAAAATAATTGTTATATTTAAATTTTAGGCCTTGTTTGATTTCTGTTTATTTCAAAATACATTATTCTCTCTCTTATTTTCAATAATACATTCTTCAATAAAATAATATTACCTCAAATTTAATACTTTTCCTTATTTTTAATCACATATTCTCTATAAAATCACTGCTCCAAAATGCAATTCTTGCCAAAAAAAAAAAAAGGACATCAAATATGCTCTTAATATTTTATTGCAATCGACATTCAAAGGTCAACGGTCGCTCATGCTGACTCAAAATCCTAGATCCACCACTGGATGCGAGAAAGAGGTATTTTTCTCTTGTTGAGATGCTTAGAAAATAGCACTTTTGTCCAATAAAGCTCTTGTTTGAGCTCTATTCTTTAGAAAAATACATTTTTAAACAGTGTTTTAGTATCATATCAATCACATATTCTACAATAAAATAAAATTACATGCAAATTCAAAATTTCTCTTTATTTTTCAGCCAAACATTTTTTATCAATACACTATTCAAAAATGCATTCCCTCTCCCAAAAATGGGACTCAAAAAGAGCAAAGGACCTTTTATTCTACACATTCATTATCAGGTACCACGTAAACCCGAGAAAGGGGTAACAAGCACAAATGATATGTGAACTTTCAACTTTGTTTCTTGTATGTACCTCAAATTTTGACTTCCCTTAATTCCTATCCGAATTTCAAAATATGTCTTTTATAGGTTCCCAGATTTTCAAAAATATATTTGTCATCCATAAATAATTTATCAGTTGTTGACAACTCTAATGGTACAGTGGAATAGAGCAGTGCTAATGAGTGTAGGACGAGTATGTGATGACCACCTTCGAGTCCACAGTGGCCTTCCATGTCCACAGTTCCTCTCAAGCTTTTAGAAATGAGTGTAGGGCGAGTGGGATGAAGCAGTGCAAATGAGAGTAGGGTGAGTCCACGGTGACCACTTTAAAGTCCAAGGTGGCCTTCTGAGTGAATTATCTAAATGGTCATTGAACTTTGCAAAAAGTTTCTACGGGATCACTGAACTTTAAAAATCACCAAATTCATCACTAAACTTTGGAAAATGTTTCCATAAGATAACTGAATTTTAAAAATCACCTCATTTATCACTAAACTTTACAAAGTTCAGTGACCATTTGAATAATTCACTCGTGGCCTTCCATGTCCCAATCCCTCTCAAACTTTTAAAAAGATGGTGAAAAATAGAATATTTCTATTTGCCACTCATTTAATTATTTATTTATTTTTATATTTTAATGTGTTTTTAAATTTTAGAATCATAAAAATGAAAATTCAACACAATGAGAATGTTCCAACCCTGATTATCCAATAGGACAGGGTGAAGCCTAAACCAAAGTATTTTGTCATCCATATGTTTATGTGGCAATTGACGACTCCAAATGTTAATTTTATGTTTCTCCGTAATTTGTATAGAGTAATGTTATCCAATACTATTGGTGCCAAGCACAGTTTAGGTAGCAAGCACCAGTTTAGGTAGCTACTATATGATATTAAAGAATAATGTTATGCAAGCACCAGTTTAGGTAGCTACTACACGATATTAAAGAATAATGTTATGCAACCCCACAGGGTTGCTTGATAATAGAGTGAATGAAATGTGGAATTAAAATGATTTATTTAATTTCACATATTGTTTAGTGTCAAATTAACGCCACCTAAATTGGGGTTATAATCTCAGTGTGGTTAAATAGCGTTACTTGATATTAAATTATAAATTTACTTAATTGTAATATTGCATGATTCATTTAATTGAATCTATCAATTGTGATCACCTAAAATGATAATCTAACATCGGTGGTGACTAATAGAATTATTCCTCTATATATTCTTGTCTCTTCTTTCAACTTCATTCAGCAGCAATTAATATTATACTATGACAATTGATTTAGTGGTAAGATAAACATAAAATCAAATTTATTTGAATCATTAATTGGCACTTTAAAATAAAAAAGAAAGAAAATTGGAACGTAATTTGTAGAGTTCGGGATAATGCATATGTTGACAAAGATGGTAACAAGGTGAATTACTATGTTTGGTAAACATTAAAGTATGGCAGTTAATTGATTGAATTTTAATTTGAATCCAATAAAATTAATAGAAGATGAATTTAGGGTCTCAGTTCGATAATCCGATCAGGATCCTAATTCAATTATTGGTTAACAAAATGAAACAAATATGAATATATGTCAATCCAATCCGATAACAACTCGATCCAATTTGTTATAATAATATAATATATTTTATATATTATCGCATAATTTATTGAACATAATTTTTTTCATTTTGAAATTTATATTATACTTTATGAATTTATATTATCGCATAACTTTAAGAATGTCATATCTAATAAATTCTGATATAACATTAATATACATTATAATAAATTTTGTATTGAAATTAGGAATTCCCTCTTTTCAAAATTACTTCAAACGTATTCTATCACCCTATTTATGCCATATGGATCTAAAACAAGGAAATCCCTTGGTTTTATCTTCCTAATTTCATATATTGCAATAAAAAAATATATATGTAAAATATTTTTTATCAAATTATTGGATCGAATATCAAATAACATAATAAATTGGATAAGAATTTAATAATCAAATATTCGTTTGATTACCAGATCGAATCTGATCAAATTCATGAATTTTCCTTATCAGATTGGATTGGATATGGATAGATCCAGTCCACATCCGATTTATTTACAGCCCTACATTATATATATATATATATATATATAGAGAGAGAGAGAGAGAGAGAGAGAGAGAGAGAGAGAGAGAGAGAGAGACACACACACACACACCTAGAAAATTGAAAGTTTGAGTTCTTAAGAAATGTCTGGTTAAATTATGTATTGATAAGATATTTAGACTTTCGGGCATGGATGAGGGAAAATTAAATGTTTGAGTACCTATAAGAAATGCAGTTAAAAGTTCAGGTGCCATTTGAGAAGGTAGAAGGAATAGATCTTTCTATGGCTTTCTTTTTAATCGGTGGCTTTATTCGTACCGCTCAAGTCCCAGATTCGGTTCCAATTGATTGATTTTCTCGTTGAAGCCTTGAATTTTCCTGGGCGAGTCAACTCATAGTTGTGCCGGTGGTGGAGACTCGGTGGAATTATCAACTGCAAAATCAAATCCATGATCATCAGCATCACATGGACTCCTCTCCAGTGCATTCCACTCCTTCCATTGACGAAGACGAGTGGGGTATTTTTTTTCTTTTCAGTCTTTTGCATTTGAGTCTCATCTAAAATTAGAAGTTAGTTTTTTTTTTTTTTAATTCAAAATTGATTAACGCTGTTTCAATTTGGGATTGATTCAGTTACTCTTTCTGATTTTTGGTCAGTTATTTTTGTTCACTACGATTAAATTAGTATCCTGCTCACTTTAGGTTTACAAGCATGGATTTGGGGTCTAATTATGATTCACAATTGATGAATTATTTACAAATTATATCTAATATATGATGTTTTATACTTGCAATTAATGTTAAGCGTTTTTTATCTAATATAATAAAAATAAGAACTTCAGGCATGTTAAGCCTTTTTTATTGTAATTATATGATATTTTTGTACTTGCAATTTGGGATTTTTAGCATCCCATGAAGATATGATTGAAGCAAACCAATCGTAGTCCAAACACGATGAGTTCCAAATGTTACTCAGTATACTCTATCTAGGGACAACGATCCTCCTAATCTTGGATGTTAATTTATTGTGGGTTTGCCTTTGAGGGATTGAGTTTTATGAATAAGAACAACAAAACTTCTAAGAGAAACTGTTGACATGGTTAATTGAATACTATAAGTTACTTTAATGTTCATTCAGTTTCAGCTTTGTTCTTATTTCATTCATTGGGTTTAAAAGAGTGTGATTTTAGGGATCGAGTGTTGGTAGGGACTTGAATCATATCACAAGTTTTATCTGAAGCTTGCATTTAAATTAGGTAAATGAGAGAGGAATGAGCTTGAAATAACCGTTGTTTAGATCCAACTAACACCTAGAGCGGCAATAGGTGGATAATACAGAATTAAAAATAACAAACAATAATAAGCAACCAGTCACATATTTTTGTCTCTATATAATTAGGTTTAATTCAATTAAATCGTAATTTTCATATCAAAGCATAAAAGTAAAATCGACACCAAAACGATAACGAAAGAAAACACCTTAAAGAACTCTTCATAGGTATAAAAACCACTGGACAAACCTTGCCAAAATGATTTACTAGAAAAGATAACTTACATTTGGTCCAAACACAACTAAACTTTAATAGACTCTAACCACTCAATCGTTAAATCCAGGTGATCACCAAGAACAAACCTCATTCTTCTCCAACTGTAACTCTAGCAGCATCTCCCCAACTTCAGAACTTTGAAGGATTATTGATAAAGAATTTGGTGTTTGATCTTGTGGTTAAGGCAAGAGATTTATGGAACGTGTATTTGATCTCTGTAGGATCTTCCTTTGATTGAAATAAAGGCTCAACCAATTTCTATAGATGTTTGGGACGAACTATGGCTTGGGTATATATAATATGGAGTGTTGAAGATTGTATAGAAGTGTAAAATTGTAGAAATCCCGTACTAGGGGTCTGGCTAAGTAACTTTACCTCTCAAATGTTGGTGGAGCGAACAACGAGCAGTTGCTTAACTACTCGAGCGCTCTATGCACAGACAACGAGCATTTTTCGAGTGTCTTGGTCTTCTTGTTCCGTCTTTGACTTCTTCAAAACATACTCACAATCCCGACTCTTTGACTCAGATTACAAATCAATACACTATGATATTGAACACAAAAATAGCCAATACAACTTGGACCTAACAGAGCTGAAGTGGCATATGTTAATGTTTCCTAAATTTCAGGAGCAAGCCAATGTGGTTGATTAGATATTTGCATAGTTGTGTTGTAACGACCCCAAATTTTAACAATTTAGATTGTTACTAAAACTTTCATTCCATAATTAAATAAATTATTCAAACACCCCAACATTAAAAATTTTTAGTTCCTTCAATAAAATAAATAAATATCTAAGAAACATGTCACAAGTCCTAAATAACAAGTTTCACATGCAAATAAAATCGAAAATAACGCTAAAAATAAAATCCTAGGTCACGTTACTTCGGATTTATTTTTTTATTGAGTTTCATGAATCTTGGCACCACGATTACACTGCATCACTCGTAAAGCAATGACTTGTTCTAGTCTATGAAGAGTAGAAAAAATGGTAAGTACATGAGAATACTCAATAGAACATTAAAAATAATGGTGCAATCTCGAGTAAAAATTTTAAAACATATATAAGAAAATCATACCGTCTCATATCTTTAAAATTGGTAAGAGCTCATATTATATTATATCATTTGTACAATTATACCGGAATGACTATATCATTCATATCATATCTTTAGCTTTCATGAGTACAATAATTCATCAACATAAAAAAAAATAATTAAACGGGATAAAATACACTGCACCTTAATATTCTACCTTGTTAGGCCAATTAAATTTGAAAGGAAAAAATCGAATTCATGTTCCAAATCTCTATTTTTGTATGTGTTGCTGCTACCATCGTATATGTGTATCTAAATTTTCTTGAATAAATAATATAAACTTTTGTATGGTATTTAAAGGTGAAAGAGAATATTGCATTTTAGTAGGCCTAAAAATCTGTCAAAAAGTCGTGTTTTTCGATAAAGAGTCTCAATTTTATACAATCAACAGTTATTTCTTCCTCATCTAATCAACACGCGGTAGTCTATCACCATCAATTCCTAAAATCAAGCAAATAAATCATATAAAGAAAACCTATCTTATCTACCATTTCTACATGTGTCTACCAAATCACACAAATTCAAAAATCAAAATAATCCCATACATGTGGCAACAACATCATTTTCATTCAGAACTTTAAATTGAAAAACTATTTCTTTATCAACTTCTTCTAACTGAAATATTTGGGAGTTGACTTATCCAAATCGATTCTTTCTCGAGCCTAGTATATATGATTAATTGTGAGCTATCCAATGAGCGCAATATTAATATATTTATCATTACTCTATTTTTATTTAATTATTTGATCTAACTAAAATTGAATTTAATATATTTATCATTTTAGCCTCCAACTTTCAAAATTTAATAATATAGTATATAAAATAAATAAATTCTGGTATGTGTAAATTTTCGGGACTTTACATGTGTATTATAGTCTTTGCTTTTTATATTAAATAGAATTTTTGTTTGCTGTTGCATTTATATGTACTAGAAAGGTGGCTGGTGCGTTTATGGATGCCGCTACTCGTTAAAACCTTCTGGTATGATATGATAAATAAATTCACATGGTTTTGTAATCAGGTATTGTCAAACAAATATTAAATCAGTAAATTGTTCCTTGTTTCTCCCCCATGGAACGGGTAGGGATTAAAATCTATTTATGCAAATGATAAACCTTATTTAGTTACTAATTCATTGTCCTATTGTGCTGGATATAAATTCATGAAGAAATGTCAAATATTACATCAGAAGAAGGAATTAGCAATTAATATTTTCAATTTAACCATATGCCCTATTGAAAAATTGGATAACTGTTTTTGAAAATCTCTAAAGTGCTGAGTAGGGTCTGCCTGTGTGCCACATTTGTTCCACTGCCGGGTAATGTACATGGAGTTTTGTTGCTCATTTGTCATTTTAGTCAGTTCTGAAGTAATCATATGTAGTTTGATTTAGCGCGAATTGATCAACCTTTCAAAGTTATTACACATCCAACACAGGTGTACCTATTACCAAAATTCTTCCTTTTATTTAGTTGAAATGAAAACTATTCTTGTTTATGATTCTTGGCAGTTTAACGTCTAGATTAATATCTTGTCTTTTGTTCCGAGGTTGTGGTGCATGCTGTTAATGCAGTTGATTTATATCTCCCGGCAATTGTATAAATTGGAGTTCATTATGTTGACCTGATTTTCTCTGCTGTGTTTTGCTAGACACTGATGGGTTTGTGATTCCGAGCCTGGGCATTGGAGATCAAGACCTCTTTCAAGCTGATTCTCCAAAAGTAGAAGATTCTAAACTGTCAACAGTTCAGGTAAAGCCTAAGTTTTTTATTTAACAGCATAAGAAACAAAAATGTGGGTTTTTAATGGACTAATGAAGCATATTGACCTGTTTATGTATCATGATTTGGCAGGCTAGTAAAGAAGAAAAGATATATCTCGGACCACATGGAGCCCCGCCATCACAATCGAAGCTGCAAGAGCTGAATTCTTCTAGCCGCAAGCAGAGATTTAAACAGAAACTTAAGGAAGCTGATGGGCAATACTGTGGAACTGGGCGGGAAAATAAGGTTGATAACTTGAGAGAACTAGTGGGTGGGGAAAAAATGTCCTTCAACACTTCAAAGAGCTCTCCTAGGGAATGGCTTGATCCACATTGTCACGAGTCCCAGTTTGAGAAGAGGCGACTTCAGTAGAATCTTTCCAATAATTGGCAACACAAATTTTGGAAGTCCTTTCCCTTCACTTTCATTTTCATTTCTCCTTTCAACTTTCGGGTATTATTTGTTGCTACAATAAGTGAATTAAGGTCCTCTCTCTGACATTGAGGAATCTGAAAATTATCGAAGGTTTTATGTACTTCAATCGCTCAAAAGTTAAAACTACTCGGAGGTCAGAGCAATTACAAGCTGCATTTAGTTTGCTATTTTTGCTTTTATTGGTGTTTTACTTTATCTATGACCATGCTATAATAGAATATGGTTGATAGAAGCTGATAGAGTTTGTGGTTGAAAAGTTGTCGGTTCAGTGAAATGTGTGGTTACAATTAATTGTTGATTTTGCTTCAATTTTAGTTGAACGAAATAGGGACTTAGTGAGCTTGGTGTTTATTGGCCATTATTTGATCGAGAGAATGCATGATAGTCTAGCCGTCGATGTTCTGCTTGACTTGATTAGCGCACTGATTCAGTGTCTTCTGCTCCTGATGAAAATTGTTCATTATTATTGCAATGCATCTAATTAAATAATTGTGACAATAATGCATTGTTTGAACTTTTTGTAACTGAATTTAGTAAAAAGGGTAATTAATATATAATGTTGTTATCTTTCACTATTATTGTGGAAAATATCCATATCTTTCATTTTTTTGATATTTTTACAAATATTTACACATTTGATTGTGCAAACTATCATTTCTATCAATTTTCATCAATTTCTCAATAAAAGCTGTAACATGACAAAGGTGCTCTCCTATTTAAATTTTAAAAAATAATAATAATTTCTAATTTTTGAATAATTTATTTTTGACTCATTTGCATTTTTTCTAAAATAAAAAAATATATATATCTCTAAATTTTTAATAATTTATTTGGGATTCTTTTGCACTTTTTAAAAATTTTGGGACTAATTCGATTCTCAATTCTATTCTAGATTAACAAAAAAATTAAGTAAGGATTGAAATTTTCTAATTTCTTAAATTTATTTTATCTTAAATAGGCTAAGTTATTTTATTTTTTATAAATAAATTTGTTGACTAATTAATTTAGCACAAACCCAAAATATATTTTTCTTAGGGCTAATTAAGCCTAATACCCTCCAAAAGTAACAAATTAGAATAATATACTTTAAACTACTTAAAATCTTAAACCCCGTAATTATTACGTTCAACCCACCTTACCTCAACCCCAACCAAAACATGCTTCAGAAACAAGGATTTTAGACAAGGTTTTATACAGGGATTCACCTCTGCCCTTGATTAAACTTTTTTAGGGATGGGTTCTTCAGCCTAGATCTCCCATGGAATTCATCAGACATTTCTGTTCAACCATTTCTGGAAACTTATAAAGTTCTTCTGTCAAACCCTGATCAATGAACCTACAAAATCTGGACTTGTCTTTATATATATATACACTTTCCCGCTTCGGTATGGGCCAGAGTGAGAAGCCACCACGCTTTGCTGTTGATTAAAATTTAATTAAGGGCTAAGGTGAATCCTGCATAAAACCCTGTCTAAAGGCCTATTTGACTAGCATTTCTAACCTTAGGAAGTCCCAAATCGTCAGCCTCAAAATTGGAATCAAAATCCTTCTCCCCAAAATCCTCTAGCGCCGTTGCCTCTCCTCCTATCCACTCATCCACTCCAGCAGAGTCGCCAGCCTTAGGATTTTATTCTCATTTTTTTGTTTAAGCATGAGAAAATTGATACATTTTGATGCTACCAAAAATCGTACCTGTATATTTCTCGAGCTTGATGATTCTGATTAAGTACGATCGTAATCTTCCGGTACCTGAAACAAAAGCAACGAGGTGTGTTCTCGTCGCCCCTCCGATACTTAAATCAGAAAGGGAATTATATGCGTGAGGCTATAAACTGGAGAATAATGAAAAACGTACCTGAATGATGGTCCAAGGTTCTATATTTATAGAGGAAGGTAGTGTAATTCTAGTAGGATTGTGCCGGTTGAATGTTTTTATCCAATGGAATCCCGTTTGTAAGGAATGTCCTACTCGTAATGGAATTGTCCGATAAGTAGTGTAAGAGTTGATATAGAGTTCTTGGGTGTTTAGGTGTTTGTTTATTAGGCACATAGGTCTAGAGAATGTATTAATGGAATCTGTCCCGAGGACTTATTCTCGAGGACCATGGGGTGATGTTAATAGTCGTATGAGTTTTCCTCGAGGACCAAAATACCCGAGGACTAGAAAGATCCCGAGGACATATGGCAAAAAGGTAAGTGGAGCACATATGGAGTCCTCGGGGAAATAGTCCTTAGGTATACCAATATTGGTATCATCATTGGCCCCCGTGCACTTCTCCTAGAGATCGAGCTTTAGGATGGGGTGCACATGAGTTACGAACACTTTACTTTAGGCAGCTTCGTCGAGAAGTGCTGGCTGACAATAAGGGTCGGTATTGATATGACCGTTGCAGAGAATGGGCTTGGATTTTTGACACGTGTCTTCATGGACGGTCGTAGATAGCGACCTTTGGCCTCCCGTCATTTTCACCTATAAATACTACTATTCTAACCTTCATTTTTCACTTTTACCCACTGTAAATTTGAGTTCTGTGAGGTCGTGCTCGAGATAAATACTTTGGGAACTTCTCAACTCGTCGGGAAACTCCAGGTAAGGCTCGAGACTTCTAAGTTATTCCATAAGCTAGGTCTTAAGCTCGTTAAGTGATGTCGAGTAGTGAGGGTCGTGATTCATCCAATAGTTCAAGTAGTAGTGAGGATGTAGGAACATCGACAATACCGACGGCTATTCCCCTAGAGGCTACTCTTGAGGCTCAAGTTAATATGATCTTCAAATATCCCGATGAACCCTGTAGGCTGAAAGAGCACTCAGCTATTGCTGCGGCTAGGGAATATGGTATTATGCCTATCTGTGATGTTATATTTGCTGGCCCCGAGGATAGGATTGTTCGAGCTCGACGAGGGGAGAGTGTTATTTTTAGGGAGACCCTTAAGGCTGACTTTAGGTGGCCCCTTCACCCCTTTTTTATTGCTTTGTTGGTGAGCACTCCATGTGCCGGGGCAGTTAGTACCCAACGCTTGGAGAATGCTCATATATTTTTTTATAGCATGTAGGTTCATAGGTATCGAGCCCAACATTGACCTCTGTAAATTAGTGTTCGAGCTTAAGAAACATCCTCGATATACTTGTTTTGGCTATCTCTCGGCGATAGGGGGTTTCAAGGTCCCGAGGATGGCGAGTTCTCTGAAGGGGTGGAGGGAGGGGTGGTTTTATGTAATAGCGCAAGAACCTGACCTTCCTTTCTAGCCTGATTGGGAAATCCCCGATGCTAAGAAGTTCTGTGAGGGCCAGGTGTATCTAGATGTGTTGGAAGAGCATAGGAGGATGCTGGTGGGGCTCAGCCCTCTTTTCTCGATGATGAAGGAGATTGGGGAAGAGGTTATAGACCTGGCAGATATTAAAGGCGTCGAGGGTAGGGATGTTCCTTTATTTTTTGCGAAATAGCTTGACCTTGTACTTGTTCTAAAGTGTTGTAATTTTGCAAGCATGTCTTTTTATCCTCGAGCCCTCCGAAATTTTGTCAGTACGAGGGCTGATGCCCATCCACAAGGGTAGCCCCCGGCGAAGAAGAAGGGCAAGAAAAGGCCTCGAGGCACCCCTGAGCGAAGTGTGAGGGGGCCTGGCAAAACATCTCGAGCTCAACCTCAAGTCTCGACCCCTTTGTAGCCGAGCCAAAGATCTCCAACTCCTCGGGTAGTTACTACTTGGCCTCCTTCTGAGGTGGTCGACCTCGAGGATGATCCGTTTCTGATCGGGGACTTTGATCGTTGTAACCTTGTTCTTGATCTTGTGAACAAGTACAATGAGGAGGTGAAGCTCGAGGATGGAGTGAAGGTCCTCGAGCGTCTTACTCTGAAGGTAACCTTCGAACTTTTGACTTCAGCTTTTAGTTTCTTCATCAAGATTAATACTTAATATTTTCTCCTTTTCAGAAGTTGAGTGTAGCTCGAGGGCTTTCTCTTCAAAGGCTCGAGGAGGCCAAGAGAGCGGCTAGGGTAGAGACCTCCATGGCCTCCAAGGACAGGAGGATTCTTGACCTCGAGGCTAAGGTTGAGGTTTTATTGAAGGAGCGTGATGATGCGAAAAATGAGGCTGCGAAGGCCAGGGATGACCTTGATGTGGCAAAGGATGAGGTCGAGGGTGCAAGGCTTGAGCTTGTCCAGAAGACGAAGGGTTTTGAGTGCGAGCTCGCGGATGTCAAGGAGAAGGCCTGGGAGGAGTTTAAAACCTCCAAGGATTGTGATAAGATAAAGGGGGAGTACGCGTCGGGGGCGTACTTCCATGCTCTGAAAGAGGCTCAAGCTTTTCTCAGTCTGAAGTTACCCGACCTCGCTCCGGATGACCTGAAGACAGTGTCTTCCATTGCTGATACCTTGGAGCTCTTGGGTTCTGAAGATTGGGGAAGATCAGATGGAGACAACGACGAGGAGGGCCTTGAGGACGACGTTGAGATTGACATCAACAACCTCGACCCTCCTCTTGGCCATATTGGATAGTCTCCCACCTCGATCTTTTGCTTTGTAATTTTTGTTTAATTTTTGAACAAGTTTTTTGCTCGATGAATGGTACAATGTTTTTCTGTTATTATTATTGTCTTTTAGTCATGAATTAGTCATCCCGACCCCTGGGACTTCAAACATCTCGAGCAAACAAATTGAAGTAATTTCTCATGCGACATCCTCGGGGGAATAACTCGAGCACATTAACTTTAAAGAAGATACTCGAGGACTCTATAACTCGAGCACATTAACTTAAAAAGAAGTAATGTATGCAACGTCCTCGAGGGATTGATATTCTCGAGAACTTTACGACTCGAGCACATTAACTCAAAAAGAAGTAATATATTTTTAAATTTTCGGCGTTCCATGGTCTTGGAAGTGTTCTTCCTGATGTATCCCTTAAACTGTACGCACCTCCTTGAAATTGTCGTATGACTTCGAAGGGCCCTTCCCAAACTGGTCCTAGCTTGCCCGGAGCATGACCTGCTGCTTCGGCCCTCTTTAACACAAGGTCTCCAGCCCTGAATCTCCGTGTCCTCGCTTTTTTATTGAAATCTTTGCTGTTCTATCTTGGTAAGAGGCCATTCATAAAGCTGCCTGATTGTGAACTTCTTCCAAGAGGTCGAGGTGTTTAGTGGTGCACCCTGCATCTTCAGGCTCAAGTCTTCTTTGGCTGGGCAACTTAACTTCAATAGGGATGGTGGCTTCAATACCAAAAGCCAACATGAAGGGGGTTTCTCCCGTAGCGATTTTGTGGGACATCCTATATGTCCAAAGTATGGAGGGTAACTCGTCAGACCAGGAACCTCTTGCATCTCCGATCCTTGTACAGAGGTCTTGTAATATAATGCGATTGGTTACTTCGGCAAGACCATTACTTTGAGGATCGGAAACTGATGTCAGACGATGATCCATCCCTAGGTTGGAACAGAAGTTTCTAAATTGTACATTGTCAAACTGCCTGCCATTATCAGTTATGAGGACTTTCGGTATCCCGAACCTGTATATGATGGATCTCCAAATGAAATTACTTAAGCTCTGAAATTGTTGCTAAAGCCTCGGCCTCCACCCACTTAGCGAAGTACTCTACAACCACAGCCACAAACTTCAATTGCCCCCTGGTTATTGGAAAGGGACCAAGGATGTCAATTCCCCACTGCTCAAATGGGGCTGTGCAACTAATGCTAGTGAGGTCCTCTGTGGGATGGTGGATGGCATTGCCAAATCTTTGACACTTGTCACACTTCTTGACATATTCTTGGGCGTCTTTTTTCATGGTTGGCTAATAATATTCATACCTTATGAGTTTGAAGGCTAATGCCCGAGCCCCTTGATGGTTCCCACACATTCCTTCATGAACTTCTACTAGGATTTGGGATGATTCGAGAGGTCTAATGCATCTGAAGTATAAAAGTATGAGGCTCCTACGAAATAAAACTTCTTCAATCATGCAATACCTTGGAGCTTTGGACCTGATGCTTTTTGCTGCTCGAGGATCTTCTAGAAGATTGCCCATGATGGCTCATTATCAATATCCATGACGCCTACGGTCTGATTAACGCTTAGCTCGGTTACAATTCTAACGTGGATTGCCCTGTTAAGCCCATCTATTCCCTTGAACACTAATCTTGACAAGGGATCGACCTTACAATTCTCAGCCCAAGTAATTTTCACAATTTCACAACTCCTGAACTTTCTCTGGAGATCATGTCCTTTCAAACAGTATAAGCTCATCTTCTCGTCCTTCCTATTGAACGTCCCTTCAATTTGTCCAACCACCAACTGGGAATCGCTGTAAATTTTGATATTTTCAAGCTCGAGATTGATGGCGAGTTCCATGGCTATGATGACGGCCTGATACTCTGCTTCATTATTGGTCGCTTCAAATTCGAACCTGAGTGCACACTGAATATTTATGAGCATGTCCGGGCTTATGATTATGACCCATGCACCTGAGCCCGAAGAGTTAGATGCTCCATCTACGAAAATTTGCCACATGCCTGTGGTCGAGCTCGAGCTACCATCTGGCCCTCGAGGCCTTGGGGTGAGTTCTGCAATGAAGTAAGCTAAGGCCCGAGCTTTGATAGAAGGACAGGGCTTGAATTCTATGTCAAATTCTCCAAGTTCAATTGCCCACCTCAGTAGTCTTCTTGAAACGTTTGGTTTCTGAAGAATGTGTTTTAGAGGCTGATTGGTAACTGAAAATATTGTCGAAGTTTTCGTGCTGCCACTATCAGTACAAGGGCAAGTTGTTCTGCCAAAGTGTATCTTGTTTCTGCATCAAGTAGGACTTTACTTACGTAATAAATGGGTTGCTGGGCCCTGTTAACCTCTTTCACCAAGACACCACTCACTGCATTCTGAGATACGGTTAAGTATAAATACAAAGTATCCCCGGGCTCGGGTTTGGTGAGGATAGAAGGAGATTCAAATGTCTGCTTGAGCTCCTGAAAAGCCTTCTCGCACTCCTCATTCCATTCAAAGCAATGATTCTCCCTGAGGGCTTTGAAGAAGGGGAAGCACCTGTCTTCTGCTCGAGACATGAACCTGTTTAAGGCAGCTACCCTACCTGTCAACTTTTGAACCTCTTTTTTGGTCCTCGGTGATTCCATTGCTGCTAGGGCCTGAATCTTGTCGGGGTTGGCCTCAATCCCCCGATGAGTGATCATAAAACCCAAAAACTTTCCTGAAGCTACGCCGAATAAACACTTCTCCGGGTTGAGCTTCATCTTATATTTTCGCAGGGTGACGAACACCTTTTCTAGGTTGGATATGTGTTCCTCCACCCTCTTACTCTTTACAACCATATCGTCCACGTAGGCCTCGATGTTCTTCCCTATGAGATCGGCAAAGACTTTGTTGATGAGCCTCTGATATGTCGCCCCAGCATTTTTTAATCCAAATGGCATCACCCTATAGCAATATATGGCTGAATCAGCCATGAATAAGGCCTCCTCTCGGTCTTCTTTGGCCATAAGAAGCTCTACAGCTTATGTCCGGATGTGCTATCCACAAGATTGTCAATCCTTGGTAGTGGGTTGCTGTCCTTTGGACATGCCTTATTAAGAACTGTGAAATCAATGCAGACCCTCCATTTACCGCTGGCCCTTTTCACTAGAACAACATTAGCGAGCCAATCGGGGTATTGGACTTCCCTTATGAACCCCGCTCCCAACAATTTGCCGACTTCTTCCTGAATGACCACACGTCTTTCCGGTGCAAACTGTATCTTCCTTTGCTTAATAGGTTTGGCCCCTGGGCTGATATTGAGTTTATGGACAGCTATTTCTGGGTCTATCACTGGCATATCCTCCACCTTCCATGCAAAAACATCAATGTTGCGGGACAGACAATTGATGACTTCCTCCTGGAGGTTGGCCTTGAGATCCCAACCAATAGTGACAGCTTTTCCGTGCTCGAGCTCGACCACTTCCAATTCCTCAAAGGGGGCAAATCTACCCCTTGGCTCGAGCTCGAGCTCGAGGTCTGAGAGTTGCATAACGTCAGCACTCATTCCTCGAATGCTAGTAACACTGTCTAGCCGCTATTTGGTCTCCTCGAACTACTCCGATGCCATAACCTGTGGAGAACTTCATGGCGTGGTAGAAAGTTATCACAATAGCCTGGATCTTGTTCTGTAGGGGTCTTCCCAGAATGATATTAAAGGCCATTGGCGTATTAACCACTTGGAATGGTGTGATCTCCATCACTTGTGTACTACCAGCTCCTAACGTAAGCGGGAGCTCGACGATGCCTTCAGGGATAATGACTCCACCACCAAATCCTTGTAGAGGAGTTTTTACTACTTTGAGCTGTTTGGGAGAGATTCCCATTTTGGCGAAAGCCTCCTGCGACAGTATGTTCGCTACACTCCCATTATCAACCAGAATCCTACTTACTTCGAAGTTTGCCACAACCGCAGAGACGACTAAGGCATCGTCATGAGGATGTGATAATCCTTCCAAATCTCTTGCTCTGAAAGTGATGTCTTTGACTTCATCACAGGATTCTCTTAAGGTATGAGTATGTTGGCAGGCATACTGCTTTCGCCCACTACTTGTGTCTCCGTCGGATGCTATGCCCCCAACGATAATATTAATGGTTCTGACAGTTGGTTGAGCACTGCTTCCGGCCCCAAGCTCTTTCCGATTGTCACGATCATTCCTTGGTTGTTTATCATAACCAATGTAATTCTTTAAAAATCCTCTTTTGATAAGGGCTTCAATTTCTCGCTGTAAAGCATGACAATCCTCTGCAGTATACCCATGATCCCGGTGAAATTCGCAATACTTGCTCCTATCTCTTGTGCTAGGGGGCGACTTCATCCTTGAAAGCCACTTTAATTCTTTCCTATCCTTAACCTCCATCAAAATGTTTGTCTTAGAGGTGTTCAACCGAGTAAGAGGTGCTGATGGCGCCTCGCTCCTGCGCTTATCCCGGGGAACGGGATCATGTCGCCTCTTGTTCTCAGTCTTTTCATGGGAAGGACCAAGTCTCCTTGGATTTAGTATTTCCTCCATATTAATGTATTTTTTAGCTCGGGTGAGGAGCTCGGTCACTGTCTACGGCGGGGTCTTTGATAAAGACATCTTGAAAGCTTCACATCTTACGGCGTAAGTGAGGGCGGAGACAGCTGCTGTGATATGAAAGTCAGGTATTTGGAGCCTTTCCTTGTTAAACCTTGTCATAAATCCTCGTAGGGTTTCAGTTGGTCCCTGACGAAGTTGCATGAGAGAGGCCGCAGTCTTTCTGATTCGCTTGCTACTTGCAAAGAAGGCTGAGGACTTATCAACCAAATCTGAGAATGAGGCTATGGAGTTGGGCTCCAATGTCGAGAACCAGTTCTCCCTAGCAGCATTAGTCAGCGTTTGTAGAAGGCTTTGCACATAACCTGATCCGATGCAACTTACAAGTTCATGACATCAGTATATACATTGAGATGGTTGATGGGGTCGGTTGTCCCATCATATTCTTTAATGTGAGGATATTTGAATCTGTAGGGCAAGGGATATGACAATATCTCTGGCATGAATGGAGTGTTAGGGGTGAAACCTGTGGGCCCCCGAGCATTACGTTGCAGGCGAGCTGTAATTCCTTCTTGAATGATCCGGGCAATTTCACCGAAATCCATGGCGATCGATCTCGAGCCCGAGGCCATGTTATGAATACCCGAGGTTCCTACTCCACCATTTGGGGATTTGGTGGCCGTGCTCGAGCATCAGCCATAAAATCGCCATGCTCCGCCTGCGCTGGCGACGGATGTGAATTCCTTTAACTTAACAGTTGTGTGAGCATGGCCACCTGCTGACGGAGATCTTCAAAGGTTTCGATTGTGATGACCTTTGGCAAAGGTGCGGGCACTCCTGAGGATTCTTCATGAGGAGCCGGTTGATCTTTGGCAGGATGAGGGATGGGAGCGGATGAGCTTGCGAGAGGAAGACCTGATCGTGTGTTAACCATGGCTTTTGGTAGCGCTTCCCACAGACGGCGCCAATGATGCTACCAAAAATCGTACCTGTATATTTCCCGAGCTTGATGATTCTGATTGAGCACGATCGTAGTCTTCCGGTACCTAAAACAAAGGCAACGAGGTGTGTTCTCGTCGCCCCTCTGATACTGAAGCCAGAAAGGGAATTATATGTGTGAAGCTATAAATTGGAGAATAATGAAAAACGTACCTGAATGATGGTCCAAGGTTTTATATTTATAGAGGAAGGTAGTGTACTCCTAGTAGGATTGTGCCGGTTGGATGTTTTTATCCAATGGAATCCCGTTTGTAAGGAATGTTCTACTCGTAATGAAATTGTCCGATAAGTGGTGTAAGAGTTGATATAGAGTTCTTGGGTGTTTAGGTGTTCGTTTATTAGGCACATAGGTCTAGAGAATCTATTAATGGAATATGTCCCGAGGACTTATTCTTGATGACCATGGGGTGATGTTAATAGTCGTATGAGTTTTTCTCGAGGACCAAAATACTCGAGGACTAGAAAAATCCCGAGGACATATGGCAAAAAGGTGAGTGGAGCACATATGGAGTCCTCGGGTATACCAATGTTGGTATCATCACATTTAAACTAGGGTGATGAAGGAGTAATCACTTTGTGTAGGAAATTCTGGAAGCTTCTTCAATCGGTAGAGTTTATAGATTTCTTATTCATTTGCTTTTCCCGATTATCTCAACCATGCATACTATGGCAGGGTGGTGTTATCATTTTGGAACCCCAACCATGGAGCTCATATCAAATTAATAGGCTTGTGTCCAAGGTATTGCTTTATTATGTACATGTCTTAAATCACACAAAAATGATCATAAGGAAGTTTATATGGTTTGTGTGTGTAATAATGACAAATTATTAATGAGTGTGTTATTTATTGAAGTCTTCTAGGACAAATGGTCTTTTCATATTATTTATTGTTTTAAGACAATTGGTCTTTTCATATTATGCAGACAACAACAGTCAACAGCTAATTATAAAATTATTCTGATACCTCTCAACATTTTCAGGATATACTTCTAGACAAGGTTAATCTGGCTTCAAAGTACTTGTAATGTAATATCTTACAACTCTTTGAAGTTCAAAATCAGGTAATGGAGCTTTGAAAAATCTCACGAGTGCTGTCTTCTTGAGAAAACTATTGATGTTTCATCTTTAATGTCATTACAGATTGGATTCCGTGGGTAGAGGACTTTAACTTCCAGATTATCTAGTAGCAAATTTGGTTTCAACAGACCAATATTGGCTTTTCTGCATGAATAGTTTCAGCACCTAGGGAGAAGACATGTAGATATGCTAGTGGATTGGGGTCCCTCTCTTATTGTAAGTTATCAATTTTTGAGTTTCGTAGAATAAGTGTCCTGAGGTAAACATTGTTTAAATACCTACTAATAGAATTGAACAGAAAGAAATGTGCTATAAAAGTGCTCTCTCTCTCTCTCTCTCACACACACACACACACACACAAACACAAACACAAACACAAACACACACACGGTTCACTTGCTGCCTTGTTGTTTTTCAACTACACCTTGAAATCTGAAATTCGTGAATTATATCTACATCCTTGTGTGCGTAGGAAGATATGTATACTATTCCTGCCACCCATTATGATGGATATATTTCTAGCTGTCCTGGGTGCCGGGCTATTTTTCTATAACAAATAGTAGAAAGATAGAGGCTTTATGCTAGAATTTCTTCTATGTACTCTAAAACTAGAGATCTCCAAGCAATTTGGCTAATTTGTTGGTATTTACCTGTGTCAAGTTTTTGACTAATTTGTCCATGAATTGAGTATATATACGTTGATTATGTGATTATTTACATATGAGGTCGATCATTACCATTAGGTCTGGGCGTGGTTTGGTTTGGATTGATTTCAACTCTAACCCAAAACCAAAATCAAATTAGTCGGTTTAAACAAATTTCAAACCAAACCAATCCATTCTTAACTTTTAAATTGAACCAAACCAAACAAAGTCGGTTTGGCTTGGTTCGGTTTGGACTTTTAGTCCAAATTAAATTTTTTTTAAAAGAAATTGTCCTAATTTTAGGCACACTCAAATTACAAGAACTAAAATAACAAAATATTTTTATGTTATAAGAACTATTTATTAACAACTAAAATCAAATTAATAGAGATAGATTGAATGAAAATTTAAAAATTTTATTGATTCTTTTGTGTTATGTAGTCTAATTTCCTGAATATGAAAAAAAATCAGATTAATAGAGACGGATCAACAAAAAACTTAAAAATTTTATTGATTTTTTATGTATTATGTAGTGTGACTGCCTGAATATGGAGAAAATGCTAAGCACAACATAATAAGTCTATGAAAGAAAATTTGCTGTGATATTACTTACCGACAACATCATAGAATGAAGGGAATCGAGATATAATTATGATAATAGAGTCTATCTTTCGATTTTTATTTTTCTTAATTAAAAAAAAAAAGTGAACACGTAAGTGGGTTGTGTTGATTCGATTAACCAATAGTTTAAGACTTCAAATCATGACTGCCGACCCACGATGGTTTTGTTCAAAATAAAATCAAACTAAACCAATTACCTATGTTGAACCTACCCAAGTCGATTTGATTTGATTGATCTGGTCGATTTTTTGATTTTTTTGATTTTTTTTTTTTTTTTTTTGAAAATGTGAAAGAAGGTTGGTAGATATTACTGTTCAATGTTTATCCCAAATTAGCTGCCTTCGCTACTTCCACTTCCACGTCCAACTTCACCATCGCCACTGTTGTATCCACCACCGTGACACGTCACCATATGAGCAATATCCACCAACAGCAGGCAGGGATGTTAAATTTAACGATAATCATGATAAAGAACAAGAATCACAAAAATAATTAATAGTTCAAATTCATACATATGGAAGATATTATGGATACGGATATGGATATTAGCAGTTAGATCTTCTTCTCCTTACTCTTCACAAAATATTAACTGCCAATAGGACAAACCAATAAAACAATACGAAGAGAACAGCCTTTATATAGAAATTTATCGAACCGTCTCATTTACAAAAGTTTTATTTTGTCTATACATAAAACACAAACGTTCTTTAGCACATTATATGCACACAAAAAAATAATAATAATAAATAAAATAAAATAAAAAATTATATCATCTACTCATCTACGAGATGAGGGAATAATATAGGGAACAGCAAATTACAACTAAATAAAGCAACTGAAACAAAAAAATTGGATGACGTTATTTTTGTAAGAGCTAAGATTGAACATATTATTAGTTTAATTATGTAACATTGTTGTAAACAAATAAAATTTTAATTATGTATGGAACCCAAAAACCAAACCAAACTAACCAAATGGAATTGAACCATCAATCGATTTCATAATTAAATTTGAATCCAATAGTTCCACTTATTAAATACTCAAAAATTTGGGTTCAGTACGATTCTCTTTGGAGCCGAACGAAATCGAACCGAACCAATCCATATCCAGCCCTCGTGGTGAGGTGAAGCCAATGGGGATAGATTGACTTGGGAAATATAATGGTTCAAGAAGATAATCTATTCGTTATTTTTTAAAAGATTCAGGACTCTTACTACAATTTTTCCTATATGTTTTTTTTATTTAGTTGCTTTCTATTTTGTATTTATTTGAAGAGCGGACAAATTCGACATTTTACGTGGCAAGAATGATGAAGGGATGAATTTGCTACATTTCTTGAAGGTTGAGGATTGTCTAGTGCCAAAAAGTAGTTTGAGTACCGATTATTAACATTTTACAAAATTTGAGGACAAAAAGTGCAAAATACCCTTCTTTGAGATAACTTATACAATAATTAGTTTTCTCTTAAACCTCTTTAGGAGAATTCAAGACTCCTAGTGGATGGAATTGAGTGGCCAACCAAGTATCGTAGACGAGTGGAAACAGCCAAGAATTGTAAATGATAATTCGAAAAGAGTATTTGTAATTGGCACGATTATTATATGACTTGCTCCCAACTTATAAAAAGTTCAAAATATCAAGACAATCAATAGTTGGGAGAATTGAATCTCGTATTTATGTTGAAAGAAATGGACTGGAAAATAATAATAATAATAATAATAATAATAATAATAATAATAATAATAATAATAATCTTTCTTGTGCCTCCTCAAAATAAACGTGTCAAATTAAAGGTGTTTATTGTCCGAGCAATGCTTGATGTACTATGATTTTGAAAATATTGTTGACAACATGTCACGTAGCATGTTATCCTAGGACAATTTTAAAAATAATTCATCTTTCCAAGTAACACTTTTTTGCCACAATCATCATTGTCAACAATGTTGTACAAAAATATTGTACAAATAGATTAATTATTATTTTCCTCTTTATTGGCAAAAGTGCAATTCTTTGACTTCATCAATAGGACTAAAAGGGTTGTGTTACATAAACAGGGCCCTATTGGAGAAGAATAATTCGGACTAAAAATGTAAAATATTCAATATTGTTATGCTAGAGAAAAAATGAATTCAAAAACCCTTTTTTTAGTCGCATGTTATGCTAGAGAAATTATCAAATATTTAATATTATTTAATAAGAAAAAACTCAATAACGTTATTATCCAACGAAGTATAAAGTTTTATTAGTTATTAACAATCCAATAAAACATGTATTTGTTAAATAACAATGAAAATGAAAATTATTGATAACGATTTAAAATAGGATAATTAGTTCAAAACATCATTATCATTTGCACGAATCATCCATATCATTTTAAACTTGACATTTGAACCCTCATTTCAATAATTTCTTGCGAAGTTGGTCATTTTGTCTCATTTCATCAATTCCTTCCGTCAAATATGGATAATTGGTGTATAACGTTCCTATCGTTTCCCTTTATTGCGCAAATCATCAATAACATAGCATACTTATTTTTTTAGTTTTTTGCAAGGGTGGATTTAGGGGTCCCTTGTGTTGTAATCCCAACCCGAAAAAGGGTTTTCGAAAAAAAATGGTTTTTGAAGTGAATTCTTTTTAACAAATGTCTACCCAGTCCACTTTTTCTTTTTCTTTTTCTTTTTTGACCCTCTTACTCCATTACTACTTTTAAGTTAACATTTCAATCTTAGCCAAACGTGCTTTAATAAGTTAATTCTCAGTTTCTCACATCACAATGTGGAAACGTAATGGAGAAGTTAATCAAGAATTCAGTTAGGAATGACAATAGAGTGGAACAGATTATGACAATCTTTACTATTTTTGGATGCCTAGCAACGATGAATTTAAAAATCCCTACTTATTTGATTTATTTAAAAAATAAAATAAAATAAAAAGATTTGAGATTGCAATGCGAAGCTGAGCATAAAATTTTACAATCCCTAAATGTAGCACAACTACAAATTATTTGAGATACTTTTGTAAAGTAGATAGATGCGATAGAGTACCCAACTTTTCCGCCGGACTTGTGACATATATATCTAAATCTAAAAGACATAATAACTTTGGTAAATTAATACACATTGGTGTAAATAGGGCAAATAAATATTCTAAAACTTATAAACATTCTCTCTCTCTCTCTCACACACACACACACATTGAATTAGCGCCCTTTTTTTTTTTTCTTTTATCCAGGTATCCCAGCTTACACATTGAATTAGCTTTTCTAGATGGTAATAGTTGTATCCATATCAAAATCCGATTTACTTCTAGTTTTAACGACAAATGGCTTATAAAAGATCTGCATTTGGAGTACAAAACCTTATAAAAAAATCTTATATTTTTAATTACTTTGCAGTAGAATTCTAGAAATGGAGCCTTACGCTGATGCGGTAAACCCAGATTACCAATTTCTCTATTTTTTCCTATGTATTTTTTATGTATAAATTCTATTTTTTATTTTTTTATTTTTGTTAAATGTATTGTAGGGTTGTGTTTTAAAGGTTAATGTCCATTTTCAAGCATGTAAAATGAAGATGATGGAAGTCTTGAATTCAATCTGCGGTATTATTCACCACTGTGCTAAAAAAAAAAAAAATGAAACAGAAATGTAAATTATTTATTCGTTATTTTGTCTAATTTTATTTCGTTCAACGTACCAAAATATTAATAGACGATACTTAGGAACTTAAAAGGTGTAGATTAATATGGTTAATTTATTTGTAGGGGTATATTCTGTCATCATAGATGCCGAAGAAGGAACTGCAAGAGTTTCAGGGTTGGTCGACCCGAACATACTTATGCGGGCATTGGCTAGGACCGGGTACCATGCAGAGTTGAAATGGGTCAAGCTGAAACACCCGGAATTAAGTAGATGTTACTTTGGTCAGTGCAATTATGGACATGGATACACCTATGGAGCAATTGATGACCCGTACAAGTATCCACGGACTTTACCATATTATTACCCGAGAAGATCCGTATATCCTTTCCACGGATCAAGTTATTATCACCCGTCTCTATCTCTGCCTAGGTATTCTTTCATTATATACACGATAAGAAATTATTATTCTTTTAATTATATAATTTTATTGAATACTGTATATCAGTTGTATCGTTATTTTCTTGTTTCAAGCTAGAAAAATATAGGGTGAAAATTATTAATTTCTAACTTGAAACCCTATTATTTGTGTAGGGCTCAAGCCTTTAATTTTTGAAAGGGGGAAGACAACATTAACACATATTGGAATCATTGCAATTGCAAGATTTGATTGTTCGAATGTTCATCCGAATATTAGTCTCCCCGATATATTGTTCATTAGATTTTGCATTTAATTAGTCAAATTAAGGACGGTGTACTCAAGTGGTTGATGTTCATCATTTATCAAAATCTATATTTATTTAGAAATTCTTATTTACCTTTTTAGAGGTTGTTGGCATTTGAATTTTTGTTGATGCAATCATGAACTTCAAAGAAATTAACTTCAATTCAAAAAAGTGGTGTAATCATATTAAAAAGTTTAAAACATGATATAGAACGAAAAATGTATGTTACAATCAATAAAACTCTTTAAGCAAAAATTTTTAGTTTAGGATAGTTATGATGAAAAATGGGCAGTGAGTCCCACAAAATATGAGTGTGTAATAGTCGTTAACGAGTTATTGAAATTAATGTTTGATATTTATTTACATCTTTTTTGTCAAAGGAACACAAAATAATATTGAAATCGCTTTTAGACCAACAAAAAATTGTCACTCAAAACATATAATTGCATTTAAAGTTTATTATGTGAGTATTATATTATTTCTACTACAAAACTAAATTTTAATTCCGTTTAAAATCTTTTGATTAAATTAATCAATTTAAACTTACACAAATAAATATATGTTTGAGAATTAGAAATCACAATTCTATATTACCAAAAGCAATAAAGTCACAATAAGGAAAAACAGACAAAGAAAGTGAAAGATTTATAGATATTCATTTTAATATAAAAAACTATTTCTCCACTATTGTAATAATCCGCTATGGTGGAAAAAAAAATGTTTACAATTAAAAGCTCTAATACCCTATTTTATTTAAAACCCTAAAGGCAGCTCACAATATATATATATATATATATTACAAATGAACACCACGCAATGACAGTAATTAAGTTTCAGAGCTTAATAATATATAATCAGAATAATCGACAATTTTACTTGAAGAAATAGAACACGCAACAATAAAACCGGAAAAATTTACACGACATTTCTTTCTTAAGCATGAAAAGATGTATATATATATATATATATATATATATATAATTGTGAAGATCGATTTACAAATGAACTCCATGCAATGACAATAATTAAGTTTCAGAGCTTAATAATATATAATCAGAGTAATCGACAATTTTACTTGAAGAAATAGAACACGCAACAATAAAATCGAAAAATTTACACGACATTTTTTTCTTAAGCATGAAAAGATGTTTATGGTGTGGTCGGTCCTATAGATACCCAGATAAATGTTTGACTTCACCTATAAAATTCTTGTTAATTATTAGTTCTTGTGGCTAAAAATGTTTTTCTTCTCTGGTGATTATAAGTTTCTGCTCAAATTAATTGCATTGTCATCAATGCATTAAAAGGGCGGTTGTTCAATTCCAAATTAATCACCATTTCACCATCTTCAAATTACAGTCTGGCTTGTCTGAACCAATCAAACTATTACAAATGACCCATCTAATAATTAACGTTTGAATTCACATTTGGTCTGGATTTTTTAAACTTAAATTATCATTTTGTGCGTTGATCATTCAACCAAATGATTGCAATTCTGTCTTCAAATCAAGGCTATCCATTTATAGTACAACATATATCCATTGTGATTTATGTCGTCCGACCAAATGATTGCACTACCATCGTCTGTAAAATTTATCCACTATTGTAATAATCCGCTATGGTGGAAAAAAAAATGTTTACAATTAAAAGCTCTAATACCCTATTTTATTTAAAACCCTAAAGGCAGCTCACAATATATATATATATATATATATTACAAATGAACACCACGCAATGACAGTAATTAAGTTTCAGAGCTTAATAATATATAATCAGAGTAATCGACAATTTTACTTGAAGAAATAGAACACGCAACAATAAAACCGGAAAAATTTACACGACATTTCTTTCTTAAGCATGAAAAGATGTATATATATATATATATATATATATAATTGTGAAGATCGATTTACAAATGAACTCCATGCAATGACAATAATTAAGTTTCAGAGCTTAATAATATATAATCAGAGTAATCGACAATTTTACTTGAAGAAATAGAACACGCAACAATAAAATCGAAAAATTTACACGACATTTTTTTCTTAAGCATGAAAAGATGTTTATGGTGTGGTCGGTCCTATAGATACCCAGATAAATGTTTGACTTCACCTATAAAATTCTTGTTAATTATTAGTTCTTGTGGCTAAAAATGTTTTTCTTCTCTGGTGATTATAAGTTTCTGCTCAAATTAATTGCATTGTCATCAATGCATTAAAAGGGCGGTTGTTCAATTCCAAATTAATCACCATTTCACCATCTTCAAATTACAGTCTGGCTTGTCTGAACCAATCAAACTATTACAAATGACCCATCTAATAATTAACGTTTGAATTCACATTTGGTCTGGATTTTTTAAACTTAAATTATCATTTTGTGCGTTGATCATTCAACCAAATGATTGCAATTCTGTCTTCAAATCAAGGCTATCCATTTATAGTACAACATATATCCATTGTGATTTATGTCGTCCGACCAAATGATTGCACTACCATCGTCTGTAAAATTTAGAGTCTAAACAACATTAAAAATATGTTCAATATTGTACATCAAACATGTAATAATAGCACATAACAAAGCGTGAGATGCAATGAAATTCTTAAAAAACGAGTGTCTAGTTTTTGGCAAATTTAAATACGATACCCTCAAGGATTTTAGATGGGAGAAAGGTTTGAACAAGTGAGTAACTTTAGGATCCCAAAAGGTTAAAAGTCGGAGGGCTTTTTGAGTTCTTCGATAAGGAGTCGCTACCATGAAAGGTTGAGCGATGCCTAAAGGATTCATCGAAAACATATGATAATAATGTTATTGAATATCTAAAAACTTATAAGTTTAGATTTTGTTGGGCTTTTCATTTCGAAACTTCAAACAACTTTCTATGCTTTCTCTAGGTAGTATTTCGAGAGAGTTAAAAGTGAGGTTAGTTAAGTTATGACATCAATAACTTTAAGTAAAGAATCAAATGGACATTGAACCTAAATCCGCCTAAATCATAAGCCTTCGACCTTGTTTAATTGAATTTCACAATTAAAAAAAAAAAAAGAAAAAAAAAAGGCATATCCCCTTTCTGTTCCAATGATATGTGAGGGGTTTATTCTAGATCTTTCCAATCTTCATATAATGCCACCGAATATGTGGATCAGCATTAGGGTTTTGGATTCATTATTTGATTGACTAGACTTGGAAGAAGGTCCCATTAATTGATTCTTAATAGAGCTTAGCCTATCATAAAAAGCCGCACACGGAATTTCATTGTCACCTTACACAAGCTTATATAATAAAAAAAAGTTGTTCATAATCTCATAAATTTCGTACTTATCTCAAATTGTTTGTTTATTAAGCATCAAAATTTCTTATTAAATTTGAATTTTAACAAGGTATTGAATAAAAAGGAGCATGGTAGTGGGAGCTTTCTCAAGTTCGAAGCTCGCAATAGACAAATTTTTATTTTAACATAAATAAGAAGCTTTACTTAACCATGTCTTCTACTCGAAGTTCAAAAAAGAACGTATTTATCTGAACTTCATTGACCTTAAAACTCATTATTTTAATCCTTTTTTTGTCGGGTCCTATATTTCCCTTTCTCAATACATAAAAATCAGTCTGTACCCAACATCGAATCATTGAGAAACCCGACGACTTTAAATTTTTGACATTGATAGAATGCAAAAGGTTAAAATCAAACGATACGTGTAGTCATACTGGCAAGTAACGTATTTTTTAAAGTTTAAAAAAAAAAAAAAAAATCCGTGTAAGTGAATCATTGTTCTTGATTAAGTTTAAACTTAGCCTCCGTTTATCCCTATTTTTTTCAAATTTTAATAGGTGGAATAATATTATTTTTTTTGAAGAATGGATGGTTGAAAAAGAAATAAAAAAAAAAAAAAGGTTTTCTATTTACATGTATATTATTTTATGAAAGATTGTGTAGTTGAAAATAGAAGAGGGGAAAAAAATTAATTTAATGGGGACCAAACGGGACTTAATATTAATTTCTTCAAAATTTGTTATAATTAATATAACAAAATACAATATACCAAACTGTAGATCTGCCCTTTAAATTTTGTGATGAAATTGAATATCTTAAAAAAAATTATTTAACGCGTAAACACTTAATCAAGAAACTAAGGTCATCTCCAACTATTGCACTAAAATTTAGATCAATTTTGTAAATCTTGCACTAAATGGAAAATTATCTCCGATCCAAACACCAAAAATTGCAACAAATAAACAGTCTCTCATCATTTTTTTTAAAAAAAAAAAATTTAGTTATTAACAATTGGAGGATCCGAAAGTAATCTGCCAATTTACTAAGTTTTTGTCTTATTTTATGTATTATTTTTCCTTAAATAATTCTAATGTTTAGTATTTATGTGACTGTTGTGACATTTCCGTCTTAATTTTGAATAATCGTATTTGTGACCTTTTTAAATTTATGAAATACTTTTATTTTAGTTCATTCCATTATTATTATTGATTACACGACGACGATGACAACAACAAAAACAATAATAATAATATTTCCCCTGTTTGATAATCATTATTCGGCAAAAATAATGTTTTGAATGATAATTTTTAGGGAAATGTGTGGTTAAAAATTAGATAAAAGTTTTGGGTTACATAAAGAATATTTTATTGTGTGAATGTGTAGTTGAAAATGAGTATATAAAAAAAAAAAAGAGTTTTCAAACAATGATTGTCAAACATGGGCTAAATTAAGGATTGGGACACCAAGGGACATTTTTTTTTCTATAACAAAATGAACGGCTAAAGAGAGAACATTTCCTTTGATGGTGCATGATTGGAGGAGCTT